GTGGGTAGCTTAAATGAATAAAGTGAATGGGTGCCAACAATAGGGAGAGGTGGGGATTGTAGCAAACATGCCTCATCTGAAGAGAGTAGCCACTGTCCAGCTGATAGTTGCATGTATGGTAGTTAAGGTTTATGTCAACTTGGCTGGGCCTGGTTGAGTGGCTGGGCAGCTGGATAGAGTCATTCCCCATGGTAAGACTGGTAATTAACTCCATGGTGGAAACTACTGGAGCAGCTGAGTAGCTGCTTTAGGGATGTCGACTCTTTCCTGTATATAAGAAGCAACCTTGAGGAAGGTCTCCAGCTTATGGCATGCTTGAAGCCTGCCTATAGCTAAGTTGTTGTACAATATCCTGCCATGTTGCCCTGATGATCTTGGGACTTTTTTAGGACTTGAATCAATAGCCTGCTGTGTGGTTTGGTAACATTGGGACTGTGCCATTTTACTTGTCAACCTTGGGCTTGTCAGCCTCAGCAACCAGCAGCTGTCTGAGTGAAGAAAAGCCTCCAGCTTCAATGGGCCGGGAGCAAGAGACAGAGCTGAAACCCAAGGTTGAGGGGCTTTCACTCAGCCCCTAGAGCCTGGCACTTTGAACTCAGACTCAAAGCCTACAAAACTGTTGAGAGAATAAAATTCTGTTTGTTAAAGTCATCCCGTTTATGGTATATTATGGTATATAGTGCTGTCAGAGCGGCAGTAGGTAAGCAAAACATCATGAGAGAATGCAGCCTTAGAGTTGTAACTCCTTTCAACTTTTAAATTGAAGCTGAATATCTGGACTTCTATGGGACATTTTCTGCAGAGGGTCCCCAGTGTGTATTTCACAGAGAACTAATCAAAGCATGGGAAAAAACAAAACAAAACAAAAAAACACCTGAACAGATTAGAAGTAACAGTGTTCAACACTCACACAGAAACAGGAAGAGCGTCTATTGTCACCAGCCAGATTGGAAGACTTCATGGTTCACAGATACTGGGTTGAGCACTTAGAAGGGTCAGTATTGGGGAATAATTAGCACATAGCACACCTTAAAAGCAAAATTGGAAAGGATCAAACTGTTTCCAGATAACTTAATTGTATTGCATAAAAAGGTCAAGAATAATTATAAGAGTACAAAAATATGCCCCATCTAATGATATAAATTCATAATGTCTGGCATCCAATTAAAAATTACCAATTATGCAAAGAAGTAGAAAAATACAGCCTCTAAGGAGGAGCTAAGTCAGTCATTTGAAACCAACTCAGAATTGACACAGATATTTGAATAAGTATACAAGGGCATTAAAACAATTATTACAGTTATAGTCCATACATTCAAAGCTAGAGGAAAGACTGAATGTGAGTGACCCCCATTGGGTTTCCAAGGCTATAAATCTTTACAGAAGTAGATTGCCCCATCTTCCTTCTGTGGAACAGCTGGTGGATTTGAACCACTGACCTTCTGGTTAGTAGCCAGATGCCTTATCCACTATGCCACCAGAGTTCCTTTGTTATTCATGGAAAGTGTAAAAGAGGATGAAAATTAAGCTTCTAGAGGTTAATACTATAATGTCTACATTAAAAATACACTGAATGGGATTAATGATACATGACATTGCAAAAGAAAAGATTAGAGAACTTGAACACATAGCCTTAAAAACTATTCAAAATGGGATACAGAGAAAAAAAAAAAAAAATCCAAGAAGAAGAATGAACAGAGTATCAGAGAGTTACTTCAAGTTCAAGGGGCCTAATATATGTCATTGGAATCCTGAAAAAGAGAAGACAGTGGTGATAGGAAGAAAAATAATGACCAAAGCTTTTCCAAATTTGTTGAAAACTATAAACCTGTGTATGTAAGAACCCAAACAAGCCCCAAGCGTAAGAAAAATGAAGCAAACTAACAAAAGTTACATCATAATGAAGTTACTCAAAACCAGATGGAAAATGTGTCTCCCAAAGGAACGGGAACTACATGGATAACAAGGCTCAAATTACGTAGCGTGCAGTAAATTAAGATATAGATGTAAAAATGACAAAATTTGAGGTTAATGTTTTTCATTAATATATTGTACACATAACGCAATAATATGTCATTTAAGAGAATAAGTTTTGTTGTGTATTTAAACTTTTTAGTTACTGAGACTTAGATACATCGTGATCAGTTTTCTGATGACTTTTGACTTTAGATTAAATTACCAACTTACTTTTGTTTTGAAGAAAGATCTGGAGTTTAGGGAATATTATTCCTTATATGATTTTAGTCTTTATTTTTAGGATGACCTTTGTGAGAAATACTGAAATAGTGCACCAACATTAGAAGAGTAATCAACAAGCCAAAAGACTTGTGATTCTGACCTTTGATTTAAAAAAAAAACAAACAAGGAATCTGTATTCAAATGCTGAAACTCTTTGGAGCAGCAATTTGAGTAACAGATTCCCTGCTACCATTGAGTCAGGTCTGACTCATAGCGACCCCTCCTTGGATTTCCGAGGCAGTATCACTGCGGAAGTAGATTGCCCCATCTTCCTTCCGAGAAGTGGCTGGTGGGTTTGAACTGCCAGCCTTCTGGTTAGCAGTTAGATGCCTTAGGCACTATGCCAACAGATTCCAGAAACATAAAATTAAAACTGTTTATGCAGAGTAGCATGTATTGTTTAAACCACATAGTAAAAGGGGTAACAGGAAACACAGTTAGCTTTTCAAAATTAAAACTGGATATAAGTGGGAAAGTAGGGTATTATTTCATCCTAGAAAATTCCTTAAATTGGGTAAAAGAAACTGTGTTCACAAAATTAAAATAGGGCCTCATTTTACTAAACATAGCCTTCGGTCCAGGTTCAGAAATGGTAGTGATTAAATAATTCTGACCTTTGAC